AGCGGAAAAATAATACCCAAAATGATAACGGAGTTCAGCCATTGTGCTTACGTCTCCAGACTGCTACAGATCTTTTACTAAGAGAAAATTTACAGGTGTTTACAAAACACTTACTACTCACAAGAAAGCTATCTAGTATTGGGAGAAATAAATGATTTTTGGATGGATTTGAAGCTAAATGAGCTAGGGTATTTATAGTTGAAACTTAAGGACTTAATCATATAATACCCTAAAGTTTAGTGACTAATTATGATTATCCCATTATAATATTTCAACAAACATCTACCAAACTTTGAAAACCCATTTTTCAAAGAAACATTTACCAAACTTTGAAAACCATTTTTTCAAAGTTGGTTGCCAAACTTTGAACTTTTAATTTGGTGCATTGTTTGACTTTCAACAATCTCCCACTTGAAGACTGATTTTAATCTGTCTTCACACATTGATCAATGCAGCAACATTTCTGGTCCTGTTACTCCAGTATGCCAACTGAAGTTGAACACAACTTCAGTTTGTCCGTGGTCACCGTCTTTGTCAACATGTCTGTCGGATTTTGAGCTCCACTAATCTTTTCAAGTTTCAAAATCCCATCTTCCAGAAGAGACCGAATAAAATGATACCGTAATTGTATGTGCTTCATCCTGGAATGAAAAGACGGATTCTTTGCTAGATGGATAGCACTTTGACTGTCGCAATACAAGACATTGTTTTCTTGTTTCTTGCCTAACTCTTCCAAGAAACTTTGGAGCCAAACCATCTCCTTGCTGGTTTCCGTAACATCGACATATTCTGCTTCAGTTGTGGAGAGAGAACTATCTTCTGTAGTTGAGAAACCCAACTCACTGCAGTACCTCCTAGAGTATAGACATACCCTGTAGTGCTCCTTCTGATGTCAACATTTCCGGCTAAGTCAGCATCTACATAGTCTGTCAGTATACCCCGCAGATATCTGAGGATCCATTTGACTGATTCCCAATGTACCTTGCCTGGATTATTCATGTACCTGCTAACAGTTCCCACTGAATGAGCAATATCTGGTCTGTACATACCATGGCATACATCAGACTTCCAATTGTTGAGCATACAACACCTTTACCATATGTGCACATTCTTCCTCTGTCTTTGGTGACTGTTCTTTGGAGAGTCTAAAATGAACACCTAAAGGTGTACTTATTGGTTTAGCATCTTGCATGTTGAACCTGGAGAGTACTTTGTTGATGTACTCGGCCTGTGATAACATCAAAGTCCCCGACTTTGTGTCTCTCTTGATCCTCATCCCAAGAATCTGCTTTGCAGCACCCAGATCCTTCATAGCAAACTGCTTCGACAATTTTTGCTTCAAGCGTATAATCTCTTGCATGTCTGAGCCTGCATCAACGTACAATAATAAATAATGAAGTTGTTTTTGAACCTCTTGATATAGCAACAATGATCTGCTTGGCATCTGGTAAAACCACTGCTACTCATGAAACTATAGAACTTCTTGTACCATTGTCTAGGAGCTTGTTTTAAACCATACAAGCTCTTCTTCAACCTGCATACCAGGTTTTTCTTGCCTGCCTCTATGAAGCCTTCTAGCTTGCCTCATATAGATTTCTTCCTCCAAATCACCATGAAGGAAAGCTGTCTTACATCTAACTGCTCAAGATGTAAATTCTCTGCAGCTATAATTTTCAACACCAGTCTGATTGTGGACAGTTTTACGACTGGAGAGAAAATTTCATTGTAGTCAATACCTTCTTTTTGCTGAAAACCTTTGACAACCAATCTTGCTTTGTAGCGTTTGCTCCCATCATGCTCTTCTTTGATCCTGTAAATCCACTTGTTGTGGAGCGCTTTCTTGCCTGGTGGTAATTCAGCTAATTCCTCACGTCTGATTTAACATAAGCGAGTTCATCTCATCTTTCATGGAAGACTCCCACTTGACTGAATCCTCCACTTGCATTGCTTCATCATAGTACTCTGGTTCACCATTTTCAGTCAACAACAAGTAGTGCAAAGAAGGAGAATACCATTAGGTTGGTTTAGGAATTCTGGAGGAGCGTCTTAGTTCCGGTGTGCCTGGTTCTTCTTGAACTGCTTTAGGACTGATCTGAACATCATTTCCAGAAATCTCCTCGAACTCAACAAATTCCTTTGTTTCAGCTTCGATGTTGAGCTACTTGATTCTGTGGTTGATATGTCTTTGTAATTACATTCTCATTAAAAATGACATCTCTGCTTCTGATGATCTTTCGATTTTCGTAGTCCCAAAATCGGTAACCGAACTCATCACCACCATAACCAACAAAGACACATTTGTTGGACTTGGCATCAAGTTTACTTCTTTCAGCAGAGTTTATGTGTACATAAGAAATACAACCAAACACTCTTAAGTGTGAAAGGTTTATTTATTTCTTGCTCCAAACTTCCTCTGGTATTCTGCCATCCAAAGGAACCGAGGGCCCACGGTTGATCAAGTAAGCTGCAGTGTTGATAGCTTCAGCCCATAGAAATTTGGGCAATCCGGCATGTATCCTCATGCTTCTGGCACGTTCATTCAGAGTTATGTTCATGCGCTCTGCTACGCCATTCTGCTGCGGTGTCATGGGAACTGTTGTCTCCATCTTGATCTCATTGTTTGCGTAGAAATCTCTGAATCTACGATTTCTGTACACTCGTCCATTGTCAGACCTCAACCGCTTGACTTTCAGACCAGTCTTATTTTCCACCATGGCCTTCCATTTTCTAAGGTATCAAAGACTTCTGATTCTTCTTCAGAAAATAAACCCACACCTTCCTTGTAGAATCATTGATGAATGTGACATAATATATGAGCCTGCAAGAGATGGAACTGGAGATAGTCCTCATACATCAGTATGAATCAACTCTAACTTTTCAGCCTTGGGTGTCTTACCAATCTTTGCAAAGCTAACTTTCTTTTGTTTGCCAAAGATGCAATCCTCGCATATTCCGACATCTACATTCTTTAGATCCGGCAACTTCCCCTTTGACAAAAGTGTCTTCATCCCTTTCTCGCTCATATGGCCAAGCCTTTGGGGCCATAGGTTTGATTTTCCATCAGCATCTGCTACTGCAATGATATTCTCTAAATTTGAGGTTATATAGAGAGTACCAGTTTTCTTACCACGAGCAATGACGAGTGCTCCTTTAGTAATCTTCCATTCACAGCCTGAAAAGGTTGTGCTAAATCCTTCACCATCAAGCTGTCCTATAGAAATCAAATTTCTTTTGAGGCCAGGTATATGTCTCACTCATTTCAGCGTCCAGGTGGTCTGGTTTGGAAACTTTAATCGGATGTCTCATTTTCCGACGATCTTCAAGGTTTCATCATCGGCTAGATGAACCTTCCCAAAATCACCACTGACATAGTTCTCCATCATTTCTCGGCATGGGGTAGAGTGGAAAGATGCCCCTGAATCCAAGATCCATGATTCAATCGGACTGTTGACGCTTAGAATCATGGCATCACCTGTCTCCTCTATCACGTTGGCAGAATCCTGTGCACCGGTATTTTTCTTCGGTGCTCGACAATCTCTTTTAAAATGACTCTTCTTGCCGCAGTTATAACAGGTATAATCTTTCTTTCCCGTTCTGTATTTCGATTTGCCTCAGTTTGAATTTCTTTCTGAAGTTCTCCCTCTATACTCCGTGTGCAAGGCTGAGGAGGTTGATGCTTCACCCGATTCTCTTCGTCGAATTTCTTCACTCAATACCAGATCCCGAACATCGTCAAATTTTAATTTACTATTTCCTGACGAGCTGTTGACTGCTGTAACAGTAGCATTCCAACTGTCTGGTAGAGATGATAAGAGAATTAAAGCTCGAACTTCATCATCAAATTCAATTTCCGCGGAACTCAACTGGGTTGTGATTGTGTTGAGCTCATTTAGGTGTTGAGTCACTGATGCCCCTTCCGCCATCCGCAAATTGAATAATCGTCTCATCAAATGAACTTTGTTTGAGGCCGATGGCTTCTCATACATACTGGAGAGAGCCGCCATAAGACCCGCCGTAGTCTTTTCCTTTGCTATGTTGAAAGCAACATTTCGGGACAACGTTAGTCGGATAACTCCGAGGGCTTGTCTGTCGAGAAGAGCCCAGTCTTCATTCTTCATGCCCTCTGGTTGTTTTCCTGAGAGAGGTTGATATAGATTTTTCTGGTACAGAAAATCTTCAATCTGCATCTTCCAAAAGCCAAAGTCCGCACCATCGAACTTTTCAATTTTCACCTTCCCTTCGTCCGCAGCCATCGCTCCCACTCGAATCTGGCTTCTTCGGATCGTTTCTGACAATTTGTGCGAACCACCGTGTATTATAACACCTCCGTCGACAAACTCGTATCGCCGACAAAATTTTTACTATTCACGAAATTCACTATTCACGTTAATAGTAATGAATAGTAACCTCGTAAAAATTGACAAAATTCACAACCAAAGCTCTGATTACCAGTTGTTGGGAAATAAACCGAGTACAAGTAATTTCCCTATAACCAGATTAGTTAGAATGCGAAATAAAAGCGGAAAATAATACCCGAAATTGATAATGGAGTTCAGCCAATTGTGCTTACATCTCCGGACTACTGCAGATCTTTTACTAAGAGAGAAAATTTACAGGTGTTTACAAAACACTCACTACTCACAAGAAAGCTCTCTAGTATTGGGAGAAAGAAATGATTTTTAGGATGGATTTGAAACTAAATGAGCTAGGGTATTTATAGTTGAAACTTAAGGACTTAATCATGTAAATACCTTAAAGTTTAGTGACTAATTATGATTATCCAATTACAATATTTCAACAAACATCTACCAAACTTTAAAAAACTATTTTTCAAAGAAACATTTACCAAATTGTGAAATCATTTTCAAAGAAACATTTACCAACTTTGAAAACCATTTTTTCAAAGTTGATTACGAAACTCTGAACTTTTAATTTGGTGCATTGCTTGACTTTCAACACTATCCTCGGCATCCCCCCTTGCGCTCGATCAGCATTCACCTTTACCCAGCCCCTGGTCGGCTTGCACCACCGCTTCTCACTCGATTAGCCCCACTTCTGTTCACTTCATGAATCCCATTCGCCATTAACTCCTTTTTCAAACGAACGCTCCTCAACTCCACATCCTCATAGTCCATATAATTAGTCTGGAAAATAAGATTGCACGTTTTTCCATATGTTCCAACAACAATGGCAAAAAGAATTTCCCAGCTCCTAGCATCAATCGCGAGTCTCCCTGGCCATTTAAATTCGAGATCAACCACTCTCGATGAGGCATAGACAGGAACCTTCGGAGTTTACTTCCATGAATCACTCTACGCCATATGGTTACCGTAAAAGGACACCTACGAAAAACATGAATTAAATCTTCCTCCTCGGCATTGCACAGAGAGCAAAGGCCCGTATCTGCAATGTGTCTCCGATGACGTTCTTTGTTCGTAAGAAGCTTCTCATGAAGGGCTAACCATAAAAAGGTTCTAACCCTCTGTGGAACATTCAACTTCCAAATTAGCTTCCAACAATAGCCATTTCCAGCAGCTGATCTAGGGGCCAGAACACGATAAGCCGAGCGCACCGAGAACCTATGATTAGGATCCTCCTTCCATGCGGGCACATCATTACCAAGGTTTGGTTGAGGTGGACAAATTGCAGCTATTCGATGGCAGATTTGCAGCGGCACACAGCTTCTCAACCTCGCCCAATCCCAATCCCCATGCGGATTCGTCAAATCGGCCTAGGTTACAAGTTGTTGGTCGGCGTTGTGTAAGCAGTGGTCAGCTAATGGTCCGGCCTCATGCACCCAAACATCATTCCAGAAGCTGACTTGGCGTCCATTCCGAATAATCTAGAGTATATTATTCCTCAACTCCTCCCACACGTAGCTTAAACCTTTCCACAACCGGGAGCAATTACGTCGATCAATGCTCATTGGAATATCACCACTCCAACGATACTTCGCTTTCAAAACACGAATCCATAATTTGTTTTCCCCGCCCACAAGTTGCATCCCGATCTTCATTATGAAAGCCTCGTTTTGTTTACACAAATCCTTCAGACCTAAACTTCCATGCTCAACAGGGGTTTTAACCGTATCCCAGTCAACCAAAGAAATTTTCTTGGAATCTCCAGTTGAACCCTACACAAAACGCCTAATCAATTTCTCCAAAGCATTACAAACACCTTTTGGCAGAACAAGCTGATTGCATTTCATAGTACGGTATTTCCTGAAGCACTGCTTTAGCCAGCGTAAGGCGGCCCACAAGAGAAAGAGTCTTTGCCACCCAGCCTGCTAAACGTTTCTCAACTTTCTCAATCAAGTGTTTGTACGTTTCCTTTGTCACCCGTCCATGAAAAAGTGGAACTCCAAGGTACTTACCAAGATTCGTTACCTCCTCAAACCCAAATCCCTGAGCAATCATACTTCTCATATTAGAATCACAGTTTTAGAGAAGTAAATGTGCGTTTTATCAATACTATCTTTATGTCCCGAGAAAGCACAAAAACATTCCATCACCTCCTTAATAACTGCTACTCGATCCAAAGATGCTTCGAGGGTCATCCGCAAAGAAGAGGTGAGATATTCCAAGGCCATTTTTAGACAGGTGAATCTGCTTCCACGAACCATTAGCAACTCGGTGGTTGATTGCTTGAAACAATCTCTCCATGCAAAGAACAAAAATATAAGGAGAGAGGGGTCCCCTGACGAATACATCTCGTTGGTGAGAAAGACTCTGAAACATCACCACACAGCAACTGCATAGACACAGAAGTAACACATGCCATAATTCATCTTACAAAGCAGATAGACAATCCTGCATCCATAAGAGTTTCCTCAATGAAGTTCCACTCCAGTCTATCATAGCCTTTTTCGAGGTCCACCTTCATAGCCATCCATGTCTGCTTATCCTTCTTACAGTTCATAGAATGGATTACTTCTTGCGCCAAGATAACGTTATCAGTTATATTCCTGCCTGGAACAAAGCTGACCTGATTCTCGGACACCCGCTCTGACATAAAGGGGCTTCAAACGGTTAACCAGAATCTTGGTGATAATCTTATACATGATCGAGCACAGACTGATTGGCGGAACTGAGAAACTTTTTCAGGCAACTCAATTTTAGGGATAAGCATTAAAAGAGTTCTATTCGCCCCATCTGGTAAAATTCCACTTTCGAAGAACTCTTTAACAAAGCGAACGACATCTTCTCCCAAAGTACTCCAATTCTGATGAAAGAAACCTGCTTGGTAACCATCAACCCCTGGAGCCTTCAACGGGTCCATCATGAAAAGTGTACTACGAACTTCCTCTGATCTAACTGAGCTTGTTACCACATTAAGGTGATCCCCAGCAAACTGTTTAACCCCCCCCCCCCCACACACACACACACGAAATTCCGTTGTAGCATTTTGATGAGGCTCAGAAGCAAACAACGTTGAAAAAAGTTTACTGCGTGATTCCGTAAAACCACCGGATCATCACACCACTGACCATTGTCTAACTGAAGCATCCTAATACCATTACACCATCGTCGATTCAAGGTGGTGGCATGGAAAAACTTTGAATTATGGTCTCCCTTAGTGATCCACTTACTTCTAGACATCTGGTGCCATAAACTCTCTTCTTGTTCAAGGACCAAGTCAAGTTCCTTTTTAAGAGCCTCATAAAGATCCAACAGGAACACTGACTCTGACCTCTCTAACGCCATCTCAATCCCCCGAATTCTAGCCATCAATAGTGCCTTGCGCCTGCCGATATGTCCAAAGACCACCTTATTCCAGTGCCTAAACTTCTCTTGAAAATCAGTAAGGCCATTGAAAAGAGGAGTATCCTTGTATATTTTAGTTGCATTTGAATTTACTTCGTTTAACATTGAATGACATTTTACCACGGAGTTTGATTTGCGCTTCATTTAGATGATATGTTGCTTTAATCACTTGTCCGGGAGGTTATGTCGGTTGGTGCATGTAGAAGCAGACAGAAGAAGAAGCAAGCTAAAGAGAATTTCCATCACAGCGATGAAAAAACGATTTTGCGACAATAGTTGTCGTGACAGTGGATAAGAAAAATAAAGTGGCTTGTCAGCTGATGTGTGTGAATGTATCTAAAAAATATACAAGCACATATTATCGTAACTAATAAAGTAGACATATTTACGTGTGTCGAATATTATGTCATAGAATGTTACGGCATCAATAAATTCTTGCAGAGTGATAAAATATGTGAACCAACATTTCATTTTTGGATAAAAAATAAATACGTAGATAAAAACCAAACATTTCACTCCAAATATAATCTTTTTATCCTAAATTGAAACGTTAATGGCCAAAAGACCCAAAATACTCTAGAAAAATGACAATCCAATCAAACATTGGGGATCTTTTTATCCTATAATAAAATATTTGAGGGCCAAAATGCTAAAAAAAAGAATGAGCCAACCATGATATTTTGATAAACATTGAGGGTTAATTTTGCCAATATGTCTTTTTTCATCACTGGTTCAACCTTCCATGGCAAACCTTCCCTAATCAATTATAGAAATTAAAAGTAGGAATCAAAGAAGAAAAATTGCCAAGAACATAAATATTTCAAAAGGTCCGTTCTCAAGGTTGCCAAGGAGGAATCATCATTACAATTCTTTACAAAATATTTCAGAAAAAAAAAGTAGACACGCATATAATATGAGATTCAACAAATGAAGTACTATAGGATATATTAAAACCTCTTGGTGTTGAAATTATCAAAACCGTCTGAATAGAACATGATTGTAGAATGTAATAAATTAGATAAAAAAAACTCATACGCAAAATAGGTAACAAATTACATTACTTTCTGCCACAGTTCTGTAATACAGAGCAAAGAAACATGGAAAGAGTTCAAACATTGTATCGTCCTTTAACCGATCTTTCCCTACGAGAGTCATCCTGCAACATGAAAAACAGTCGGTCATGGTGAGAGAATAAGCTCCCAACATCGCAAGTACCGGTTGAATGAAACTTACATGGAAGCTATAAGAAATTTTATCGTTGATGTCAATGATCTCCTTCCACTTCCTTCCAATGCCCATCTATATCACACGATTCCAATTAACATCATCAAAGCATATACAAGTAGCTTAATTTCGAAGGGACGAGATCCATAATCAAAGGTATGTGATAAATGACGAGTGGCCGTAGATCCAGTGTGCTTGTGGAAACTATGCAGTGCAACATGCAATTGCAATATGGACTTGTGAGAGGATGCTTTATAAATATGAAAGAAATAAGCTCACATGCAATAAAAAATGGGGTTGGGAGACATCACCAGCAAAAGATGACCAAAATGCGACTAGCCGACTAAAAAATGGGTCAATTGCCAGAAAGCCGAACTTGCCAAATTTTAAATAAATGGATGAAACATGGACCGAAAGGGGCACCTAATTGTTACACCAAAATAAAATGATAGATAACATTATTTCACTTCTAATTGAATACATGAACCCGTGGTTGCAGAAAAAGCTTTAACCCATTAAACGCAGAAATAAAATTTATGCAATGCAGCAGAAGCAATCAGATAGATTTAAGCATTTTATTGACTCACTCGGAACAAGAAAAACCCATCATTACCAGTCTGATTGTGTATATTTTCATGCACTAAACTTGCAGCAATTTCTTGCAAAGTGATCATGGTAGAAAGTTCCAAGTAGAAATTAGAAAAGTTCATCCATGAATTATGAGCATATGGATTCAAGAAAAGGTCCACCAATATAATGAAAATGATATGCAGAATACGATGCATAGCTCAACAAACAAATAGATTAGATTCAAATTATCAACAGATACTATGATAAAGACCTGAGCAGCCTCGTTCGTTGCTGTCTTGGTCCACAATGCAAGTTTGTCCTGTCTTTGACGTACACCAACAACCACGCCGCAAATCTCATCCGACTCATCGAACTGCTCACCTATCAATGCCATCAACTGTCCATAGAATGCAATTAGTGTGTCAAATAAGAACATAGCAACCATACTGCACATAATACATATCAAAAGACAATACACCTACAGTTTCAAGCCACATATTCTCAAGATTAGTCCTTCTGTTGCTAGGGACAGTCCACTTTCCTCCATTAGCGCACTCTGGATCTTCCCATTTAGGCTCAATCCCAGCCTTAAACAAGTGGAAATCAGCATTTCCAGGCAACTTGCTGGGCTTGAATATTTGATCATATAAACTGGAAAACATAACAAAAAATGTTAGCCCTAATTTCAAACAAACAATAATAAATAACAATTAATATAGTCAGATTAGATTATATATAATGAAAACAACAAACCCATATAAAATTCATTTCTTAGGAAACGCACTTATCTTATTAAACAAACCAAATCTGAAATAAATCAATTAGTATCTACCCAACAACGAAAACCCAAATAGAGTTATGCTTTTTTCAATAGAAAAAAGAAAATCCATTATAGATCAACAGATCTTCAAAGAAATACATAAAAAAGAGAAGAGGGTTTTTTGATAAAAGTACCACCAAAATTCTTCAACAGTGTCAAAGGTGTAAACTTTGCGTAACGAGGTACCCCAAGCGGCTCCTTGTTTAGGCTTAGATTGGTTATCAAACCAAAAGGTCCACTTTCTTTCAAGCATGTGCGGCTGCTTCTCAGCCCCTGTCGGTGCCGCTGCTTGTTCCGAATCTGCAGGGACGGGAACTTCCTCCGCCGCCTCAGTTTCCATGAGTTTTTATATGTTTGTTGTTCTTTCCCTTTCAGGACCTTGAAGGATGAAGTGGAAAAGGAGAGACAGAGGGTTCAATTTGGATATCACATAATCTTTTGTAGCTTGGGGCTTTCTATTGGTAATGGACTTTTAGTATTGAAGCAGCTGGGTTACTCTGTGCTCCATGGCTTTTGTTCTACTTCCTGAAAGCCCATTTTTTTAGCTCTAATTCATATTGCACAATGTTAAAAAAACTTTTAATATTTGATTAAATAGTTATTTTGAACTTTATTTTTTTTTAAAGTATTTTAGATCCTAACATTTTATTTTTGGATAAAAATATTTTTTTTATAGATGGAAATCATTATTTAACAAACGATTAACACTTTAAAATAGAATTTTTTTATCCTAAAATGAAACATTGAGGGCCAAAATGTTTTAGAAAAAACAAGGGATAAAGAAACTATTTAGTCAAATGTTATGGGTCTTTTCACTCTAAAATGAAATGTTGGGGGTCAAAATATTCTATAAAAAAGAATATAGATCAAAATAACCATTTTAATAAACATTGTGGGCTAATTTTGACATCCATACTTTTATTTTCCTTTGTATAATATATTTTTGTCGATATCAAAATTGGACTGGGACGACAATTTTCTCTTCATCTCGATCAAGATTAATTTTTTTAAATGATATAAAATGATTAGAAGAAAGTATATGTTTACATTAATGGCTATTGAACAACATTTTAAAGAAAATAATAAGGTAAACTATACATTTAGCACCTAAAGTTTCAATTTTGGTCCGTTTTAATACCTGAACTTTCAATTTTTTTAAAATCATCTCTAAAGTTTAACTTTTGTTTCATTTTGATACTTGTAAACTTGTATTATTAAGGTTTATGAATTGAATGTTTGAAACAAGTGTTTAAAAAAGGTGTTGGTATTTGGTAAAAAAATTATGGGTAAAAGTTAAATATTGAATGTGCCATAATTATATTGATACTTGAACAAAATAAAGTCACCATACATTAACAAAATAAAACCACCAAACTTTAACAAAATATTACAAAGCATTCACAAGATTAAATAACAAAACAATTGGTCAAAACTACTAAGAAAGCTTAAAGTAGTTGTCAATTTTGAGATCAATTACATTTGACAATGTTGACCAAATCAAAAAGTAGAGTATAACCACAAAACACAAAATATCATGTTTTAACACTTGCGAATGTACATAAAAATTTCAACACTTCAATTAATTCATTCATCATTCCTTGACTGTTTGAAAGTTGCAACCACAGTTGGTGTGGATTGAGTGATTGAACTTTCCTGACTGATCATCATCCATCTAACAACATGGACTGCTAATGTCTATGCTGAAACTTGGTGGTGGTAAGGAGGTTGTTGGGTAGGATTAGATCATGTTGTTGTTGCTCCACTGAGACCCTCAAAAGGTCCCTTAATATGTAAAAGTTATTATATAATGAAGCCATCAATAATTGTATTAATAGATTACAAAATTGAATATGTGAATATACTCATCGAAAGTTTAGTCAAGATTTTTCTATTGTTTGATAGATGAATTGAGGAAGAACAAAAGTACCGCATGTAGTCTATTATTCCCCAGTGATACCTTTACATGTCCTTTTATTGTGTCCAAGTTGTCGATAATTACTACAGGAATTTGCTAACCCCTTCTTGCAAAGTTTTTTTTAGTACGTTAGTAATTTCATCAACTTCTTTTTTCCTACTTTTATGAGGCATGTTTAGCGGTCATCTTTGGAGTGGAGGTATGATGAGCAGATTTGTCACTTCTGGAGTCCATTGATTTGATATTCTCACAGGTTCAATCATACAAAGAGTATATTGCTTGTGTCTTGTAACATTGGTCCACGTACGATTTAGGCATTTGCTCGATCATTAGTATAACTGAAATTGCATGGTTACATGAAATCCCTGTATGAAAAATAAATCAAAGTCAATAAGTAAATAAATGAGCAAGAAAACAACAATGGAAAATTTTACATGTCAGTTGTCACTTTCTACATGTGCAAGTGTGCTCAGCCAAGTCCACCACATGTTGGATGTGTGGTCCACATGCAACCTAATACATATAACAACAAGTATGAGTGAGTCAATACCTACATCCAATAATTAATGGGTCAAATTAAAAGACACTAAATTCAGATAACACCTACATCTACATGACAATTTTACCTGTTAGACATATTAATTGATGCATCTAATTTTTTTTTAATCTTTAGACACAAAATTGAAGTCCAGTTGTCAGCTTGAGTCTTCTTCTTAGCAATCCTGTGCATTATCTTAGTTCGAATTATTTCCAGCATGATTATAATAAGATTGTCTTTTGTACTTATTATAAACTACAAAATAAAAATGTAATATTCAACAACATATCAATCAATGCAACTTAATAAAATAAAGTCTCACATTTTAGGAAATACCTTGTTAAAAAATTCACATAAATTATTTAGTAACATATCATATTTAACTATACAGAAAAATGTAATTTTATCTAATTTTTAGAGTCTTTCTCTGATAACCACTTATATGCATCAAATGATAATCCTTTCATCTCATTAAACATCCTTGGACTTAAAAGACTATTCCGACCATATTAAGGACTTATGTGCATCACATAAATTAATACACTCTCGAGCATTTTCAAAGATAGTTGAACATTCTTGTCCTTAATGACAATTCCGACCATATTAAACCATCCAAATATTTTATTCAAATTGCAAATGATTTCAAGTATTTAATTTTTCCTAAGCGAATAAATAATTTTATATTCATTTTGCGAAAAAAAATTAAATCTTTCCCTAAATTCTCATAAACATAGGGGTGTACAAAAATATCCGACCCGCCGACCCGAACCTAAAAAATCGAGTAATTTTCTAAAAAAAATTATCCATTCGGATAGGGCCCGGGTCACAAAATTAAATTTCGGGTACCCAGTTAGGATTTTTTTAGAGTAAACTACCTATTTGGTCACTTATATATTATCTAATTTATGTTTTGGTCACTAGATTATTATCTAGGGTAAACTATCTATTTGGTCACTTATATATTATCTAATTTATGTTTTGGTCATTCGATTATTATTTAGGGTAAACTACCTCTTTGGTCACTTATATATTATCTAATTTATGTTTTGGTCACTTTAGGGTAAATTGCCTATTTGGTCACTTATATATTATCTAATATAATCATATATATTTTTATTTAGGGTAAACTACCTATTTGGTCACTTATATATTATATAATTTATGTTTTGGTCAATCGATTATTATTTTTTTCAAAATTATATCTAATGTTACGTTTTGATTCTGTTTTGGTCACATATTTAAAAATGAACAATGATGCTAACATGACATTTTTTAATTATGTTTGGATGTTGGACTATGTAATTCAAAGCACGGGTACCCAGATTTACACACCTACATAAAGACGCAACCTTGAATTAAGATATTAACCAATAGAACACGTCAATCTCCCTTAATTCAGGTGATCAGTTAGTCACACAAAAAACATGACATAAAACATAAGTTAAATGTTTTGTCCATAAAACAATGTTTTATTAACGATAATTTTATTTTATCATTTTTAATGTATCGAAAAATCTGCTATAATATCATATTTGATACGTATATTTTTACAAAATATCTAATGTGCTATATATAATTTTAAAATATCTATTGTGTTATTTATATTTTAATAAAAAAATTGTTGTGATGCATATACTTTGATAAATGGAAAATATCATGGTTATGTTTTTTTATTAAAATGTCTAATATAATATTTATACTTTTAAAATATCCAATATAATATCTATACTTCATTAAAATATTTAATATAATGCATGGATTTATATTACCCGAGTTAACACATTTAACAAGTGTTGTACCTTAACTTAATTTTTTGTATTATTAATGGTACTTGAGTTGCCATTGTTAGAAGTGCTAAATCAGTCAATAAAAATTTATAAGTACTATAATAATACATAAAAAGGTAATTCAAGTATTGCATCGAATATTTCATTAAAGTATAAGCGCCGCATAAACCTTTTAAAAGTACAAGTATCACATTAAATATTTTGTAAAAATGCAGGTATCACATTAAATATTCTAAAAGTATAGATACCATATTAGACATTTTGTAAAAATACAGCTATCAAATATGAGATTACCCCAAAAATTAAATTTTATTTACGACACAACCAATTTTATATATAAATAATTGCAAATTCTCTTTGCAAGTACCTTCAATTTTTTCTCTAAATCTCACAACTTGAAAAAGAAAAAAAAATGGTGAAGGATGACGAATCCATGGCAACTGCAGCACCCAGAGCACCAGTGACCGGTGAAAGAAAAATTCGAAATGACTTAGAAATATGCTTACCAAAGCCATGTAATTTTCTAGTTTTTTATTTATTTATTTTCTATACGATTATTTAGACCAGAGATTTAAATTGTGGCTACTATATAGGGATAGCCGCAGCATCCAAAACCGCTATTAGGGATAATAGCGGTGTGGAGCGGAATCACATTAATAACGATAGTAATTTAACATGTAGCGGCCAATTGCAGTAACAATGGGCCGCTATTCCCACACTATTATTCTGTTATTTTAATTAAAAAATCAATTCCAAAAAAACATTCACGATCATAATACTCGTAATGACCGCAATAACATCTGTTATGTCTATAATAACAATAAACATAACATGACTAAAAATACAATAATAACTGTAATTTAAATCCATGATTTGAACTGTGACTAATTTTCTTGTATGGAGATAGATTTGGCAAGAGCATTGGTAGCTCCAGACGTGGATAATCCAGAAGGAACGGCAGGGCATGAGAATAATGGAATGAGTGTTCTTCAACAACATGTTGCTTTCTTTGATAAAAACAAGGATGGTATTATTCATCCCTGGGACACCTACTTTGGTAAATAATTTCCCCTTCATTCCCATCTCTAATTTCTTTAATATTTAGGCCTAAAATTTCCAAATTTTTTAAACATAAATTTTAGGTATGCGAGATATTGGTTTCCATCGGTTACCCTCGTTTTTGTTAGCACTGATAATCCACTTATCTATGAGTTACTCCACTCAACCGGTAAGCTTTACTATCTCTCTCTCACACACACACTTAATATGATTAATATTTTAACAATTTCACAATTAAATGTATTTTGTCTTGTTTTAGAATCAACACACATTTAATATATAAAATATTTATTTGACATTTTAAATTTATTTAAAATTTAACATGAACGATCTATTAAATAAAATTTGAAATCTTCAGTCAAGAAAATAAAATTTGAAATCTAATGATCAAATCATTAAAACATGCATAAAAAAATAGAAAAGTGCATTATACAAAACTAGTTTTACACTATTTTTTAGTTGATTCCTTCTTATATATGCACTATTGTCAAGTTAAAGTAGTGTTGCTTACAAACTTACAATATTATAATCGATACTCCTCCATTCGAATTTTTTTGAGTTAGTTGAGTTGACAAGTCTTATTTTATACCTTAAACTTTATTTGAAATTTTTTAAGTCGAGTCAAGTTTATAAAATTTAAGTCGAGTCGAGTTGTTCGAATTTATGTTTAAATTTAATTGTAAATATTTATAACGTTATAGTACTATTTGATTCCAATATAAATGATTTTCCATAGCCATATACGATATACATATGTATTTCTTCATATTTTTTCACATACGATATACATATATCATGCAAAGTCGATGGACTTAAATCGAACTTGAAAAGTAACCCATTAATTACTAAATATTTCGAGTACTCACTCGAGTTCTATTTTATAACTCGAATTTAATTTTTTTAAGTCTAATCGAGTTTATGAAATTACGAGTCAAGTAAAATGGATTGGAGTTTTGCTCACCCCTAAATAGAAGTATGGAAATGAGTCAAAGTATAATTAGATTGATAAAATATAATAATTGATATTAATTTTGTAAATATTATAAAAAAATGTAAAAGAATTTTAAATAAGTGGATCCATCCATGTATAAAATATATTCCACCAAATGGCTGATATTGGTGAATTGGAAAATTTGAAAGTTTTGGATTCCAGATCTGTTATTTCCCATATACATAGAAAGAATACACAAAGCTAAGCATGGAAGTGACACAGCAACATATGATACCGAAGGAAGGTACGCACTTATAAATTTGGAACACAAAAGAAGAAGAATTCTTGGAAATTAATTTACAGAAATGGGTATTTATTGAATGTAGGTTTATGCCAGTAAACCTGGAGAACGTGTTCAGTAAGTACGGACTTACAGAGCCCGATAAGTTAACGTTCGCAGAGGTGTGGCGGGTGACTGAGGCATGTCGCCTTCCATTCGACTTCGTTGGATGGTCCGTTTAAACAACCCTTTTTCTGCTTTTTTTTTTTTGAATGTTGAATGATTTTGAATGTGTGGGGTTTGATTATGTAATTGCAGGTTTTTGGCCAAGTCGGAGTGGTTGGTTTTGTATTTCTTAGCCAAGGACGAGCAGGGTTTTCTGACTAAAGAAGCTGCTAGGAAGTGTTTTGATGGGAGTCTGTTTGAGGACCATGCCAAAATGAACAAGGGCGGTGTCGAAAAGAATGAATAAAACGACGTTTAAGTTGATACTGAAATGTGGAGATAAAATAGTTTGTATGCAGATAATAAGAATAAAATGATTGTATTTGATGCAATGTTTATGTATGGATTTGAGTTCCTAAACAATATCATTAGCTGCACTAGCAGTCCCTGGAAATGAAAAGCGTCGATGCATTGAATTATGAAATGTTTTTTTTATTTGTCTTACAACTGTTTCAATTTTTCTGGTTGAGTGTCTAAGGCAGCAAAAGATGTGCAAGAATTAGGTAAGCAAAGTGTTAGAGTATGTTAAGGATGGTCATTTGTTTCTGATAGCTAGTATTGGTCTGTTTCTGTTAGTTAGTTTCAGTGTTGGTTATTATGTTTGAGCTGTGTATATAAACCCGTGAGGTATTGGTTAATGAAGTATTCTGATTCTGAGGTTTTTTTTTCATAAGATCACTCTATATCTTTCGCTAAGAGACAGTAGAGATGGGATTTTGGAACTCAGACAAATAGAAAGGTAAGTTATAATAGTTTTTAACCAGCAACAGTAGGGAAGTGGAGATACCCACTTTTATAGAGGTTTGTTGCCTGTTATCCTTTATCTAATGAATCTGAGTTTCAAATCTAATTATGTTATTCTTGTGATTAAATAAAATTTTCTTATCGTTGGGATTAATTAATCGGTGGTTTCGTTCATCGAAAATTCTTTCTTTTTTGTTGGAAAACTTAACAAATCATAGATGGCTAGTTTTTATGTTCTCTTTTTTTCTTTAATTCTTTTGGTTGTTTTTTTGTTGTTGCTATCGGTGGTTATGGTTGTAAACAGTGACTGAATGAAATTTATGATGATAACTCGAGATTGGTCTGATCATGGATGATATTGTTGCTCGTGGTTATGGTGTTTAGAACTTGGATAAAATAATGGTCATGAATTATTCGACAATCATTGGAAGATGATAAAGTTCTTGATTACATTGGGTCTTGTGTTTAGAGGCGGTGACGATTAAAAGAATGTCAGACGATGACGGTGCAGGTAAAAGAGATCAATAGTTGCCAATTAGTTTGAGAAAATAAAGAAATTTGAGGGGAAGAATATAATTTTAACGTTTCATGTCGGTAATTTTAGGTATAATGATTATAATGAAAGCGAATTAACAATATATTGATTATATTATAAGTTTTAAAAGTTTGGTTACTAAAACGAAAGTTTTATCCTCACTTTTTCAAAACCAGGTATTCGATATATGGGTTTCAATCCAATTGCCTCTCTTACCATGGGAATGGCATGTATTTTATACTGTTAATATTTATTGGAATTTTTTCATAAATGAATTACAATAATAAAATTTAAAATATGACTATAACATTATTTACTTCAAATATAGAAAAATCATGAAAGTGTGAAAAACTAATTTAGTTTTACAATTTTGCTCATACATACATATATATCTTATCTAGGCTCATAGTTGAGTCTAGATAGAAGAGACACTATTTAAAGTTTCTGGATCTAAAAATAAAGTTGATATATAATTAAAAAATAAATTATTTATTTAGTTATTTGTCTATTATTTATTTTATTTTGATCATATAATTATTTTTTATAAAATTATATATAATTTTTCATTTTATTTATTTTTTTATTATTCATCATTGAAAACTAATATTGATGTTGATGTGATGTTTTTAAATTATTTTTTCACTTTCCACTTAATTATTCTTTTATTATATTTTTGACAAGACGGGAAATATTGATACTGAACGTGGATCCTCCTAAAAGAGGATCATGTTTCTTCTGTGTTAGCAGTTGAGTGTTTAATAAAGTCTTTTGATGTTTTCTATTTAAAATTTAATGTATTCATTAGATAGTTTATTAAACATATTGAAAACAATTTACATGTAAATTTATTTATTTCTATTTGTTTTTACAATTTAATTTTTTTCTATACTTATTATTAGAATCCTAATTTTTATATTCGCTCCAATCTATAAGATCTCATAAACGGACTTGATCCCACTAGAACCCATTAAGTGATTTTAAATAGTTAAAGAGAGTTATTTTTTCTGGAGGTCATGGGTTTAAGTAGTTACATTTACAATGTATGTGTTCATCGTCAATTGTTAAGAAAGATTTTAGATGTATATTACCTTATATTTACCTCAATATATATATATATATATATTTATTGGGAATGGCATTGCTTGAATGCAGATTTATGTAAGTGAACTTGGAGAAAATGTTGAGCAAGTATGCTCTTATACAGGCCGAGAAGTTGACACTCGGAGAGCTGTGGTGAATGTCCGAGGGAAATCGGGTTTCATATATATATATATATAAATATGGGTTTGCAGGCTTTATTCGTAGTTAGAATGGGTGCTCTTGTATTATATTGCCAAGGACCAGCAGGGTTTTCTGTCTAAAGAAGCTGTTAGAGGTTGTTTTCATGACACTTTATTTGATTACATTGCCAAAATGAAAAAAGGTTATTATAGAAACTTAATACTGTTTTCTCTGTTACCATTTTAGATATCTAACGTTCTCTTCATAATCATTTTAGGTATCCGGACGTTAACTGTTATTAAAAAAACCCGTTAAATAATACGTGTCATAGTAATTTTGAAAATTTTATTTTTTAAAAATATTTTTTTAATTTAAGAGAAAAAAAAACCCTGCGCATTTCCAACCCATCCCCCACCCTGTCACATCCCCCCTCCCCTTCGCCTGTGCAAAGGTGATCAATTTATGGTTAAAAATCTGCAAAATCCCAAGAAAATTACTAAAAATTCAATTTATGGTAATCAAACTGCAAAGACATCTCTTGTTTTGCAATCCACTGCATGTAAAACTTGTACATGCAATCAAAAGGGAACAAAAATAATCCCAATCAATGGTAGCAATCTACATAATCTAAAAACAGTCGAACTAAGCTACAAGAGAACATAAAAATGGCGAGCCAACAACTGTGTTGCTTGTTTTAGAAGGCAGGACTTTTCGTTTCCTGTGACTAGGGTTCAATCCCCAACAAGTTCAAATGTGAACAGAAAAATAATCTATCTCAATCCATGTATAACACCTGAAGTTTAACGTACATGCTGCTGTACACTTTCGGGTCGAAGAGTGGGGCTCTGAGTATGAATGCAGGCCACTGCAACCGAGAAGGACTGCAGAGCTGAGAGTGTTGATTGAAAATGAATCAAATACAGGCCGTCGCGAACTTTCGATATCGTCAAGGTCGGAGAACCGTGTTCGGGACCCTGTATTGTGATTCAGGTTGTAGTTATGTTAAAAGACTGTTAACCATGAAAATGCTATGGAGGATAAATTAGGTAAACATTGAAGGTGAGAATGAGATACCTGAACGGAAAAATTGAATAACTTGCAAGTGTTGGGCATATCTGTTGGAGGTGAACCACCTTTACTTGACCTGGATTCGAGTACAGTCAGCGGACACCCTAAGTCCCAGCCACCACAGTCGCAACGTCCACCAGATCTCCATCTTTCAATAAGACTAGAGGGGCCACCATTTCTGGTTCTTGGAACACAATGAATACCTGCTGGAATTAGAACATTCATGCTTGTTGAGCAATCACTGGTACTACAAGAACAAACGGAACGAGCCAGGGGGGTTCCGAACTTTCGGTGTTTGGCACATCCACCGGTTTCCTGAGAAACTTTAAGCCCCAACCTCTAGCTTCCTCCTGAGGATCCTCAGGAAAATGATCCCTCACAACAACGGCTGTCAACTCAAGATTTGTTGGAAGTTGCTCATTGAAAAGTTTTATATGGTCTATTGCATCCGATTTGTTGACTTCATCTCTGCAAGGACCCGAAGAAGAATCTTCCATCATGGAACTCGTTCGATGAAATCTTGACACAGTTCTTTGCTTCAATGAATGACTACCCTTGAATGCTTCCACTACCTTTTTCGATAGACCCTTATTTTTCCAGTGATTATCTCTTGATGTTTGCATACAACTGAACAAAACAAACTCTGTCTCCATGATTTTAGAATCTTGGGAACAGATTGAGAAAGAAGTAGACACCGCCATCTTACCAACAAGGTGCGATTCGTTATCACTAATTCGATGTTCCTTATGGCTACGTTTGCTCGAATGGAACAAGTATACATTGTCCAAACCCTTATTTCGAGCAGCTCCTTCTTTTGACAAATTGGCTATATACACCTCCCTCTGGTTATCTAGGGAGAAAACAAAGTATGGAGTCCCACTCTTCCACGTGCATTGAAGCACTCCCAGAGAAATTATTGTAGAAGGAGAAGAAAACGACTGATCCGAGCACGTTGAGTATGCACTTGACATGGAAACAAGCCTTTTACAAACAGTCTCGGATCCATACTTATGATTATCCAATATTGGCATCTCACTTCCTAGGTCGTATGATGTGTTATTACCGGAACCACCCGGAGAGCTCATGAAGTCGTAACTTATTAGTCCTTTAGCATCATTCAAACTTGGATTGACATGGAATGCACCCATCTTCTGAAACAATGGACTTCCCAATATATTTTTCATGCTCCTGCTGCTCATTATCGAACCTACTATCCACGGTTCTGCAGAACCAGTGACTAAACGACCAGTCCCAATATCTGATAAACATTCAAAACCAAAGCTGCTGAAATCGCACGTATTTTCAGCCCCAATTTTAGCTGAATTCAGTCTATCAGATACAATGCCAATGTCTACAGCGCTCAAGTTCACAGAGATACTGCATTGAGAAACTTTTGCTGCATTGATATGAATCAACTCCAGGCACCAACGAAGATATTTCTCATGTAGAGTAACCACATGCCTCGGAATCTTATTCCCTATGCCTAAAATAGCCAAAATCAATGAATCCTTTATAAGACTTTTCCCTGCCTGTATTCTTCCAACATTTAATATCAGAGCATGCTGTGTGTTCACCAGACTATCCAGCCTTTTCGATTTTAGTCCAGAACAATTCATTCCATAGTCTCCTGATTTATCCTTCTTGTCCTCCAAAATTCGCAATGAATATTTGTTTCCCCTGTCATCTTTTGAACCACTAACGAATGTGTTGTCCATTGGCTGCATAGAATCAAGTATAACGCAACAATAACAGACACACCACATCCCCATTTTCAGCCTCAAAACGTCGATGAGCCTCCAAACTGTCCCATCTGTACTTCATTAGAAATCTGAACAGAAGATGAATTACATCAACAAACAGAAAGAGCGCAATGACCCGTTCACTACCGATCTGTTACCTCAACTAGAAACAATAAGGTCTAAGACAAATGACAACGGACTGCATTTTCAGTAACGAGAAACAAAACAGAATGTGTCAAACTCGAATAACTTAATCAAGTAACGATGAATCTTTAATTTTCATATATGTAATCTAACTATGCCAAGTTATGAACTAGAAAGACAAGAACAAATATCCTTCCACTTTGCCTTGCCTTTTTTCTTCATTTATTCTCAACTAAATAAGATATAAACTGTAAATTAAAAGTAAGTTAGTAGTTAGCAATCCAAATCATGCTATAAACTTTTTTCCCCTTTCGTGAATCACAATTATGACAGTTAACCAACTTTAAAAAGCTTGATTACAGCAGCATTATAAAGCAGGAAAAAGATGGAATAAAGAAGCATAAATGGAAGAAAATATATCAGAAGAAATCCAAAAAAAATTAATATTTAGAAACTCAGACATGGAGTTGTTGAACACTGTCAAACATGGAACTCTATGACAATAAATAAGCTTCCACCAATCCAAGCAACTCAGATATAAAACTTTATAAGAGCAAAAATGGGAACTACTTGCTATTAAGTAGACCAGAGAAGAAGAAACATATAAAGCACAAAAAAACCAGAAATAAAATGCAGAAGAAAGTTGCAAACTTTTCTGAATGGAGTAAGTAAGAAGAAAAGCCCTCTTTTTTTTTCCGTCTTACCGCATAGAAATAGATCCAAGACACAAATGAAACACCCCAATCCAATTCAATAGACAAGCAAAAAAGAAAAACAGAAGCAACAGCTATTGTGAATAAACTAAAAAATAGCGCTTGCGCTTGTGCTTGTGGGAAAGAGAAAAAAAGAAGGAAGGAAAGAAGCAAACCGTTCTAGATTCCCAAGCACATATTTTTCCCAAGCACCCGAAAGGCCAAAACTGTAGCAAAAGTTGAGGAATTTAGGTTCCATGGTTTCAACTTTCAACTTTGAAGAGCGACCCACGTTTTTTTAATCAATTATTTCATAAATTATACCATAATTATAAGGTATTATTTTGTTGAGTTCTTAATTTTTAAAAATTATAAAATGATATTATGATTATAAGATATTATTTTGTTGAGTTTCTCTATTATTAAACGTTATAAAATGATCATTAGATTATTTATATGTTCTAAAATCATCCTTTTGGTTAAAAAATAATAATCGTCTAAGTTAGACATTAATTTACTGATTCGTATATAATAAAATCATATTTTAATGATCTCTAATGGCATTGTCGTTGTATTTAAGCACCAACTCATAGACATAATGTAAATAAAGAGTTGATTCATAAAATATAGTTCAAACGATTTTGAAAATCAAATTTTATTATATCTCAATTAATAGGTTACCATTCAGCTCAGATGACAGTAAAATTTTTAACAAGAAAAATATAAGTTTACGATATATAAATTATCGAATAATCATTTTATAATTTTTAATAATAAGAATAATTAACAAAATAATCATATATTTAAAATAACATTGTATAATTTTTATTAATAAAAAAACTCCATAAAATAATAGTTTGCCAAATGAAATGTCCTAAAGAGAAGTGAAAAAGACCCAGACAGGACAGGAAATCTTCTTATAGAAATCATTAAAAGAATACGCAAAAGAAAAAGGAAGTGAGCTGAAAAGCAGCATGTTAACAGAATCCACTATGGCAAAAAAAGAAAGTGAAAAAGAGAAGGCAACCACCTGCAGAATGGGGAGGATGGTTTTAATTTGTATTTATTTTAAGCTTTTTTGTTGGTCTTTTTGTCGATTTTACTCCCAAAGACATGTGGATGAGAGAGATGGAAAGGGAGACATTGAGGGAATCTTACTTCTCATTACCTTGGAGTATGTATGGTCAAAGTGCTGCCATGTTGCTACTTTTAAGTTTGACCATCATTTGTTTTTTGTCCCTAAGCTTCAAACTTTCTTCATTTATGACAGAACCCATAAATTTTTTGCCTGTTGGTTTTTATAATGTCTCTTTTTTTCTTTCCGAATTTTATTAATTTATTACATTAAAGACATAGATTAACTCAGATTTTTATCAATTCCATCCGATCTTATTCAATTTAACTCGAAAAAAATGTATACTTCATCCTAAATTTGACACGGATTTAAGGTAAAAAGTGTCTGATCTGATTCGTATGAAATAAAATTCGAACTCAATTTGAAACTAATATATTTATAAATTATTAATTTTATTTATTAAATTAAACTTTTAATTGAAAATAATATAAGAGAAAATAACCTTAGTGACCAAAAATGCCTTATAATATACGATTTTAACCAACTTTTTTTGGATTTGCCAAAATGACCAACTAAATCGCAATGCGATCGATAATTCGCAACGCGATCTCCGGTATCGCAAATCAGTTTCCAGATTCGCAACGCGATTCTGACTATCGCATTGAAATTTCCCAAATTTGCGTTGCGATTTTCCTAATTCGCAATGCGAATACGTAAATCGCAACGCGAATTTGGAAAATCGCAATGCGAATCTGTAAATCGCAACGAGATTCTGACTATCGCAATACTGAATTTCAAATTCGCAACTTGATTTCTGAATTCGCAACAAGTTTTAGTTTCGCAACACAAATGTTTTGGGTATATAACTACGCAGCAGCAACAACTCATAACCTAAATCCCTAAATCGCAACTCATTCCATCTCCATCTATCACTCTCTCCGGCGACATCCGTTCCTATATCCAACGACATCCTTCCCCATCCGGGAACATGTTTTAGTTTCGCAGCTCGTTTGTTTAGTAAATTAATTTACAATAATGAAATCATCTAATGTTGATCATGTTTGGATAGATTTGTGTTTTGGAGGGTCATGGGAGAATGTTCATGGTGTTTTACAATATATGCCTTTACCCATGAATCTTCAACTAAAACTGTCATTAAAAAAGTTAACTTATGAAACTCTAATGTTACGTGTTACAAATAAATTGAATTTAGAGCCCCTAAGTGGATTTAGGCTATCTTATCAGAGAAATGGTAAAGTTTATTTGTTAACCGACAATGAAGATGTTGAACGATTCATTGCTTACATTAGTGTTTCAAGTGATGATGTTACATTGTATGTTGTTGAACCTAGAAGTAGTGAAGTTGGGTTAGTAGCGGGTAGTAATCAACTAAGTTTTTCAACCCCAGTTTATGGTGCTCAAAATTTAATGGTTCCACCACAATTTCATCACCAAGCAAATATTGTTTCACCACATTTCCAATACCAAACACAATCTCAAAACTCACAACTTTTCCCTAATCCAAATCCCAATCAACTTTCAGCACCAAATTCCGGTTTTCGTATTGACCAGTTAGACGATGATGAGCCAACAGAAAAAATTGTGAGTACTAGTCAGTATTCGAAATTTGATCTTGGTCAATACCCGGACTTTGATCTTGGTCAATACTCGGATTTTGATGATTTTTCAGAAGATGAAATAGAGCCTGCGTGTAATGATTTTGATATTGGTCAATACCCGAATTTTGATGATGAAACAACCGTTGCCGAGGAAGATGTTGTTGATGATAATGAGGAGGAAGTTACGACTGTAAATTAACATGTTGAACATCTATTATGTAATTCATATAACACTGAAGAAGAAAAAGAAGAAGAAGAAATCCCCAAAGAAAAGTCCCCGAAGAAAATACCACGGGAGTATAACTGGAATATACCAGAATTACTTCAGATACCGAAAGAAGAGTTGGTAAAGATAGCAGTTGATTATTACACAAAAATTATTCGTATCAAGAAAGATGATTGTTTTGATACAAAGGAAGACTTGAAGATAGCTTTGTATACGAAATGTGTGGAAGATGGCTATCAACTAAAAGTTAACAAATCAAGCAAAGATCGTTTTGAAACAAGGTGTATGATTGACAAAAACTGTACGTGGCGTATGATTGCAAAGAGGATAAAAGATTGCGAAATGTTTCAAGTTAGGACTTTTATTGATAAACATTCATGTTCAAGAACCCAAGTTTTTCCTCACCATAGACAGGCAAACAAAAAGGTGTTTGGTGGTTTTCTGGCTGAGTTAATGTTTTTGAATGGCAGGGTATATCGGGGACATGAAATTATGACTGACATGAATGCTCGGTTCAAGATTAGTATTTCATATTCTCAAGCTTGGAGAGCCAAATGTTATGCCTTGGAATTGTTGAGGGGGTCGCCAGAAGCACCGTTTGCCCAAGCTGAAAAATCCTGGGTCGGTAACTCATATCAAAACAGATAGAGATGGACGCTGTTTATCACCATTGGTGCTGAGGTTAGTAAATCAATATAATTTTGTTGACTCATTTTTGTTAGTTACATGCATTTCACATTTAAATGATTATATTTCTTGTGTATATGATTTTGTAGATTCGTTCGTTTATTAATTGCATGCGCCCAGTTATTATAGTTGACGGAGCACATTTAAAAGGTCGATACCTTGGAGTAAACTTATTAGCAGTAGCCATGGATGCTAACAATGGGATACTGCCAATAGCTTACGGGGTTGGCAAATCTGAAACCTCTGATTCATGGACATGGTTTATGGGGCATCTTAGGGATTGCATAGGTCCTATTAGCAATCTGACAATCATATCCGATAGGGCAAACTTATCATATATTTTACTAAGTATTATTTCTTTAAATTCGTAACTTATCATATATTTTACTAAGTATTATTTATTTAAATTTACAGGAACATTGGAACATCGTGTTACACCATGGACAGAAAAAAGATAACGAAACGTGTTGTGAAGTCAACGTCATGGAGAGTTGAACCATGTTCAAACACTTTGTTTGAAGTACTAGATAATAACTTAAATGGGCTTGTCGATCTAAATGCAAAGACGTGTAGTTTTATGAAATGGCAAACATCTGGTTATCCGTGTGGCCATGTTATAAAAGTTTCTCTTCATCTAAATCAAGATGATTCAAGCGCATACGCTATGGATTGCTACACTACAGAAGTATATCGACAGACTTATGG